AAATAAACAAGAGGATGTTCAATTAGATGTTCAGTCTTAGTTCAATAAAGTTCAATAGTGTTCAAACTCAACTCAGATGCGTAACTTGGACCTTGTGAGGCAAATTAAGGCCAAAAGTGGTGAAATACTACTTTTGAATTTCATTTCAATACACTTTCAGTAGAAAAACACATCTGAATGTTTATCTTTTTGTAAAACTTGGTGTAGTCAGTTGCCTTGCCTGCCTTACACTGAATAATGCTATAATCATGGTTTGGTTTCAATGAATACTGGCCTTTTTGATATGTAATTTTGAATGGTAAAATAGGAAACGTTAAACAGCTTAAACATAGTTAGTGGGTGGGTGCAGAAATGAGTCTTTAAAAACCTTCAATGATGACCTGGGTTGTCAACCTAAACAATGTTCTCCCATCGTAAAAACGAGGTAAGACTTAACAACAGTGCACATACATAGAGGTGTAAACAGTGACAAAACATTAGCCGAAGCACTTAACAGGTAGCACATGACATAAGTTCTAAAATTCTTTAATGAAAAACTCTTGTTTTAGGCTTGTGAAAATATTTACTTAATGGGCTACTTATTGCTACCTAATCTTAAGAAGTCTAAACATTGTGAAAGAGTTTTCTGCATTTCTTAAATTTTGTTTTGCTATTCAAACAATTTAAAACAAAGTAACAGGTAATTTGAGTTGTTGTCCAGGTGAGTTATCCACAACAGTTCAAATTAAGCCTAAGCTTTCAAAATTCTATTAACTTTATCCAAGTAATACACCCATTACTGAAATATGGCATGGCTATTTATGTCACATTACTCATAAAAAACTAGCAAATACTTCTCTTAAATTAGAGAATCAGAAATACCTGACTTGAAAATTAAGTACTTTATGGAAACTGAGGAATCGCTCAATAAAAAGTGTGGAAATATGATGATTCTTATTCATCGGCATAATCCGAACACAAAATTGGAAATATCTAAAATACTGCACCAACGTGAAAATATGCAACGTCACAACGTAAAGGTGTGAAAATCATCAATTATACATAATTTTCTCAGAAACAGTCAATAAATTATGGATGAATAATCTAGTGCTGTTGCAACTTAAGATGTTAAGATGAGTTTGCAAAAATAGAAATATCCTGTTATAGATACTACAATTCAATTAACATAGACTGTCCAATGAGACTCTAGGAGAATACATGTAAACCGATTTAAATAAGTGAGGTAATCGAGCGCAAGATAAAGAGCTTATTAAATATTCCCGGGTAAATATTATGGTGGCGATAATATGTAAAAATATAAACAGAGAATGTAACACTGATAATCAAATAGATACTCGCCAGTAAAAATAAATCCACTGCTTGTAAGACAATGGTGATAAAAGAGAAGATACAAGAATGAGAAATTAATAGAATGGGATGATACATAGATCATACCCATCTCATATAAATATGCAACAAATTGAAGCATGGTTTTAGTAGTTTTATATTAATACGATAATTTCGATTACTGAGTCAATATTTAAGGTGGGTGGAGAATGTTAGATTAAGCTTTTGTTCACCACGAGAGAAACATCAGTTGTGTAAACATTCACAAGACTTAACGGCTCCAAACATATATTCTACATTTTTATGAACAGTTAAATTTTGCAAAGGATTTCATTCTGTGTTTTCATTAACTGTTGTCAATCGTTGATTTTATTGGTACGTTTTGAATATAATTGGTACGTTTTGAATATTGGGTAACGTTTGTGAATTGGCAACTATTTCAATTTCTTAAACAACAATCAATTCTCATGATACATCTTTTCACCTTACATGAATAAAATTGGATCACTGTTATTCAAGTTATTGCTCAGAAATGAAGAATGGACTGACTCAGCTTTACTACCATACAAATCAGATTTCATTTATTTGGGGAATATGCATCATAAATACAAACAAAACATTGTGAACGATTATTTTACATATACAACCCTGACATCTATTTAAGTAAGTCGATTCCAGTTTATTAATAAACAATATTTCAATGCTGAAACAAAGGGGGGCCTTATAAAAACCATGATTGTACAAAGACCAAGATGTATCAAACTAGATGACGAAATCCAAAGGCACGAAATTTTTCAAAATGAATGAAACAAAATTGCTCCACTACTTTTCAAGTTGTATTTATATACACAAACAAATTGACAAATGGATTGACTGTGGAGATATTAATGTCCCACAGACTTCATTATTGGAATAATACCACACAGAAAAGGTACATTTGAGATAAAACTGGCTGTGCACAAATCCTCACCACCCCTAACGTCCAAAGAAAATGAGAAACAATGTCCATAAAAATAGCTGTGGATTTCTGGGCATAAATTCAGTTATGTCATCACCAGAAGTGATGACATCATCACCAGAAGTGATGACATATATGCTGTTATAGATTGTTCTAAAATGCAGTTTTCTGTTTGGATTGTACATAGTCTTTGCCATAATTTGAGTCTTTCTGGCTCTCGTTTTCAATGATATATCCTACAGTATATACACAATTTCTTGGAATAACTTTCTCTGTTATGATGTCACATATAAGAGTCACATTGACTTGGTTACAACTAAACACAACCGAGGTCTATGATTAAAATTATAACATCAAGTAACAATGGATATAAACAAACATAACAAATAGTTGAATGAATAATTAAATTTTTTATTATAAGTACTTGGAAATCTTTGCAGGATGTCTTTTCTCCATTTTACCCCATTGGGCCTCTACATGTATAATAATGCACAGCACATCATATACTTGGATTAGCACAGCACACAGGACCCAGTACAAAACTAGCATAACGTAACCTGACTTACAACCACCAACAACACAGTCGCCTGTCAAAGTAATACAACACAATTTGGCACAACCCAATAGTAAACCAACAAAAGCAATCACAATCACAGTCCATTGTTGAAGTAACCCAATGCCAAAGAATCAAAACACAATAAGGCACAACCAACTTGGTATACCACAAACCACACAACAAAATCGGATACAACCAGGAAGTCAGGTTACCTTAAGATAACTTAGTGTTGGGTTTTGTCATGCGTGTTGTGTTAATTCACCAATGAGTAGAGTTGAGTTTGGTTTTGTTGGCTGTGTTGTGTTGGTTAATAATTGGGCTGTGCTGGATTGTGTTGTGTTAGTTAGACAGTCGATTGTGTTGTTGCGGTTGATTGTCTGGTTTGGCGTTGTTGTGTCGTGCTAGTTTGATATTGGGTTGTGCACCATTGTATTATGTTATATTTATAATGGGTTTATGCTGGTCATGTGACAGGTTGTGCACAGTCATTTGCTATATCTGATTGTGTCCAATTATGTTGTGTAGTTTTTCTTAACTCCAGTTGGTTTGCCTAATTATGTTTTGATTTATTGGTGTTCGGTTGTGCACAATTATGTTAAAATGGGTTGTGTTGTTTGTTCATTATTTGGTTGTGCCAATTTTATGTTTTTAATTGTGCATTCGGGGATTACACATTTTCAATGACATCTAGCTATTTTGAAAAATGTTCATATTGTTTGATGATTTAAACTTAAACTTAAAGTAGGGAGTACATACACATCACTGTTAATGGCAATTTAATGAACAGAGACAAATAACCTTGTTATTGTATGTTATCCCAGATGGCTAGTGATATATAGTGAATTCGGATTTGATTAATGTATAATGTGTCTTAGATATAATTGTATTTATGACATGATATATGGCTTAATCATTCAATCAGTTTCAGTTGACGTATATCTCTCAATAATCTATCATCCATACTTAAGTAAGCAAAGGAGCGTTAATAGTTTAACTTTATGTGTATGTTATCCAGAATCTTTAATAACCGATACTTAAGAGTTAGTAGGAGTATGTGCAAAATAGGGTAAGATGATTTCATTTCATTTATTTTCTAAGTTCTTTTAAGGAAATACATAAGCACCAAAAGTGGTAAAGCTAAGTTCCCACCAACGGCGCTTTGATGACACTTTAAAGCGGCGTGCAAAGTATAAGTACTACAAGTACAACTATCTACAACTGTTGTTGATGTTATGAGTATTGGCTATTAATTTGTTCAATTGTTCTTCAACATTTTTTTGATGAATTGTCCCTTGGAGTTCTTGTCCTAGATTTTTATATTGATTCACGATTGGAAGGGGGGATCTTTGACATTGTTTCTCACGTTAGATCATTGTTTTGGGATATAGAGGGTCTATGGTTACACTTATAGTTTGCTTTTCTTGCTAGGTTTCTTAACAGTGTTTGGTCCTTTCCCTTTGGTATTTGTGCTAAGATATACATTTGTAGATATGAGTATAGTATTCATTTTATTCATACAGCATTCAGGGTCTCAAATGATGTGGGACAGACAAAAATATCTAAACACGAGTGCAATATGGAAAGGACCAAAACCTAGCAAGAAAAAGCAAACTTTATGTGTATACCAGTCATAAGAAAACGAATGCTCCATCTTGTATGAATACTAGTGTCTACAACTATTTTTGATGTTTTGAGTATTGACTATCCATTATTCCATTTTAATCTTATTATTCCACATAGCTAAACTTTTTAATAAAACAGATAGTAGATGACCTTTGGACAACCCTGGAATAGAAGATTTTATAAATGAGATATACCCTTACGAGTTAGAGTTAAACAGACCAATGAATCGAACATGAATGCGCCTTATCTTGATCTTCTTATTAACATTGAACTAGACAACAGTGTATATTGTATTCTTTAACATATTTTGACTGAACAGTATAAATGAAATGTACGTTGGTGTTGTCGTCTCGGATTGTGATTTGTGATAATCGGGGTTTAATTTCCTTATGAATGGTGAACTCTTAAATGTTTTCTTTATTTCTTTTGTTTTTTCCCGTTGACACTTGCACTTTCAAACTTATTGGCAATCTCCAAAAAACAATTAGCACACAGAATATCTTCTCCATAGATCCAATATATTATTAATTTTTCTCAGGTACATCGAGTTACTTGTTCTTGTTCTGAGCAGTTCATTAATGTCAACAAGTCATGGACGGATAGGATACAATAAAAAGTGTATTTTGAATAGTACAGCACATGTTGAGAAGTATGACAGAGTATTTGTATGTGTTGGGGAGTTCAGAGAACCTGGCTTCAAGAGACAACCTTGGCCAGAGTCATACATTGAGCTTCATAAGTTGGCAGGAAGAACATCGCGGAGCAAGATTATACAAGAAGGTACTTTTCCTGATTCAAAACATATACCCTCTCTCTCTCTCTTCAAAAAGTGTTCAATAAACAGATATACAAATATAAATGTTCTTTATTCCTTAGGAAGAAATGCACTTGACTATTACAAGATCAGATATGGAATAGATGTAAGTCACTTGGTAACTGATGATCAGATTTACAATGGAGAGGATGTAGCACTGGGGGATTACACATTCTCACCAACAACTATCTATTTTGATGAAGGTCTCTATCGCTTGATTATTGAGTCAAAGGAAAATAAGGCACACTATTACAGAAACCCACCAGAAGTAACTGAAATTTTATTTTCTGTGATAATACACAATGAACTTACAGAAGGAGGTACCTTTAACAAAACACTTTACCCCGGGGATATATTGGGGTATGGTGAATACATAATTAAGACACCAGAGCGTTGTTCAATGGATGGATTAACTGTACTTCATGTTGTAAGTACTGATCCTGTGAGAGCTCATGGAGGGAATGGCATTGTAACACACCCTGACTATGGAACAGGTTCTTTTCAAATGTCATTTGTGAAAAATGATGATGGACTTACTAAAGTAACCAATGTTCTTCGTTTTCCGGCTAATTAGAATTACCATAACAATTAGTAGTAGTAATTAACTGCTTATCATGGATATGAAATAAATTTAATATAATGTTACTAATAAATTCCAGCGTTACATAAATACATTTGAAATCGTTCATGAGAGTCATATTATAGAAGAACTAATGATATGAACATGTGTCTTGTTTGATTAGTCAGTTTATACATAATTCATTAACAGCAATATAAAACACTCAAAATATAGCAGTTACATATCATATTATAGCATGGTTGAGTTGTATTTATTTGGATTGCTGCACTATGATTACATTCATTACATATCTGCACTGATCTGAGTGTATTTTATCACATGTTATAACTATGTGCAATTGGTTGCTATGAATTGGGAATTATCAATATACATGCTAATATTTTTTGGTCTTCCTAGTATTTAAATTAACATTTGATATTTATAATGATATCTAATCTTATTTATCATCTTCAAAAGTTAATAGCTATATATTTTGACACCGTGTGGCACAATGGCTTAATGTTTAAAATGTACAATATCGGAATCAATGGGAAATTGTGGAGACTATTGAGATTGTGTTATAACGATTACAAATGCGCCGTAAGATGCAATGATATGAAGCTCTCTGACTCGTTTAGCATCACCCAGGGTGTCCACCAAGGCGGACTCTACTCCATGGAGCTGTATGGGCAATACATGAACAGGCTATTGCTGAACATCATACAGTGCTCGAAGGGCTGCTCTGTAGGAGATATAATCTGTACGTGTCCCTCGTATGCGGACGATACGGTAATTATTGGTTATCACAAGAAGTCTGTACAGGATGTGTTGAACTTAATGTACGATTATAGTTTGAAATGGCGTTTTAACTTCCACCCTGACAAGTGCAAAGTGATTGTGTTTAGCAACAGGAGGGTACATGATCTTAAAATGGACCTTTTCTTTGGTGATAAAAAGCTTCAAACTGTAAACTCCACCCAACACGTTGGCCTCCCTCTTTCTAACTATGACAGCAACAAGGAGCTGATTGATACAGCTTTATCCAAAGGCAGGCGCGCTATGAATGCGTACGTAGGTACTACAACGCACATGAAAAATGCTACAAATCCACTTACGGCCTCTAAATTGTATTGGTCCGTAAGCATTCCGTCGATAACGTATGGCATGGAATTGGTGCCTCTTAGTGAGGCAGACTATAGAGCCTTAGACCAGGGCCATCGAAGCATATGTAAAAAGATACAAGGGTTACCAGTTCACACACCTGACGTAGCTGTTCTACCCCAGCTAGGATGGCAGACGATAACTTCAACAATTATAATCGCCAAATTGATGTTTTTGTGGCAGTTATTGTTTCTAATATCTGGGTCTGTGTATCGCAGCATTGCTATCAAGAGAATTACAATGTACAGACATGGTGTTAAACTTAACAGACTGTCACCGTTGCGAGACATAATGGAGCTTGTGAATCGATATGGAATGACAGACATGATATATCAAGTACTGGACAATGGTGCAAATCCATCAAAATTGACATGGAAACGCCATGTGCAGAATGTGATAAGGAATTGCGATTTGGATGGTTGGAGACACGAAGTTAACACATATAAAGAACTAACACTCTATAAGGAAGTTATCCAATGTGTGAAACCCTGTATATGGTGGACAATAGCTAGGAGTGATTCAAGGTTCATTAAAAGATGTAACTTAATGGTACGCTTAATGGTCGGACAAGGCCGCTTAAGAATTAACACAGGCGAATGGGAGGGGATACCGTTGAGAGATAGGTTTTGTGAGAGCTGCTATGAGGAAATTGAAACGCTTGAACACTTTGTCTTAAAATGTAGACTGCACAATAGGGGCACATTAAATACAATTCTAGATGGAGTACCAAACATTAGTGCAATGTCAAATTCAATGAAACTGCGAGCTCTCTTCGGGGGAGACAACTGTATTAACGTAAGTGGACTTAAACGTGTGAGCACTATTATACAGAACATGTACCTCGCCCGGATTGGAGTCAATTAGATTTACTTGGGATAGCTATGGCCTAGTATAAGTTAATAGGCATATATAAACAGCCCCCCCCCCTACGATGAGTGTGTGATGGGCACCGTGTGTGACCAACGGAACGTCAGTTATCATAGAATACAGGTGTATTTTCATAAGGAAAATTTTTATTTTGTCAAATCATGTATAGCTCAATGAATTGCATACAATATTTTAACACGTAGCAAGAATGACCACCTGGTCATGCAACATCGACCTTGGGGAAGATGTATGCGGTTCCAAGTATTTCATAGCTTATATTCATATTTGTGTATTATACCTACTCTTACCAATTCTCAGATCTTACTTATAATGTTATTGGTGTTTATTAGAGTTCTATTTTGTCTATTGTTTATATTTTGATACGCATCCAATAATACTGTAATATATAATTATTATATTATCTCCAATCAATGGAGGGAAAATAAATCTAATAATATAATAATAAAGACACCAGGTCCATGATCGTTGGATACGTCTCTGCACTATTTACTCAACCTTTAATGTAAACAAAACGATTATACGAAATTATATAAACACCACCGTGAGATGGTGAGTTCATGAAGATTATCAAAATGTTTCGAATTTCAAATTGTTATCAGCTGATTTGTTTTCTTATTTTTCTCCATTGTCTTGGCCATTTTGCTCAAAATCTCGCCCGTCGTCTGATTTTTTAGCCGTTAAATCGTTTAATGGCACAGTGACGCTTGTGTTACTTCTCTCAACATCTCGCTCACGATCTAGTTTGTCATCCATCTTCCCAGTACCGAATAGCTCTGCCTCTATGAACGTCTCCGCCAGCCGCTTATCTTTCGTTTCTGGAAGAAGGAATGCCAGTGAAGCTGCTATCAAAGGAAATACTCCCAAAACCAAATACGGTAACCCATACCAAATGCGTCCAAGTAGAGGGATGTTTGGACTAATTAGGCCTCCCACCCTTCCAAAGCTGGAGCCGCTACCAATACCAACATTCCTCGCAGGAGTAGGGAATATTTCTCCACTGTACAGATACATTACTCTAAACACGACGCCTATGAGTAACAAACCACATAGGGCCGCTGTCGTGGTCAACGCCAAAAGAGAAAGGAAACGCATCACTAAGAACAGTATGAAATTTTCTGAAAAAGCTCCACCGAGAATGGCACCGATTGAGCAAACTAACATACCCAGGACAGTTCGCCTTCTTCCAAACCTGTCTGAGATAAGCCCAGAGAGGAACGCTCCGACTAAAAGTCCAAGCATCTGAAATGTGGCAGGAAGCGTATACATCCAGTCATTTTTCCACAAATAAGTCCAAATTCGCTTACAGCCGATGATTCACGCACAGACCTATCAAACACCCATCCATGGTTACAAGCGATTTCAGCAGTTGTTCCATTGCCTACCCATGTTTCGATCGTGACAGGATCAGTGAAATTGATTGCGCTGTAGTTAAAGTTGAACATACTACATTGTTTGTATACTATACCTCCCAGAGGGTCAATTGTTTGAGGAATAGCGATTAACTTCTGCATGGTTTCATTCAAATGTTGCAACTCAGGAACCTTACACCAATGGTCCATTCTATTTGCGATAAAAACAGTAAGGGTATATTGCCAGCTACTTCCCGAAGAGAATATGTTCCAGACTACCATTACCAATATCTGAAATCGTCCAAATCCTCCCAAAAGACCCAGCGCATCATCAAACTTCTTGATTTAACTGACTGATGGCGTTTAGATTGAATACCGCTTATTTAGAACCACTTCAAGAACTGGTTCAACGTGAATGCTAAATATCAACGAACTCGAGTTAACATGTCCAGTTTAGTATTGTCATTTCTTGATAAGATCATTATTTATCAATACTTTAACATATTTTCAAGCTATCAATTTATGTTTTACGTGTCAAGACTCGATGTTGATTGATGCTCCTTCATAACCAGGAGGATCTTGACACACAAACATAACAATGATAAAAAACATGTGGTCAAGTTGTGGCTCACACAGTGAGCCTATGGGATCGACCAGGCGTCCGTCCGTCCGTTGGTCCCTCCGTCCGTCCGTCAAAATTGGCCGCACAAATTAAAACTGCTATTCGGATTGAGTCATATCCACATTCATTTTATGCATATCCATAATGCCTATTTGACCTATCATCGCCATTTCCCAAGTTCGCCCGGTTTCCGAGAAATTGCTGGTTTTGATGTCAAAAAGTCAACTTTTCTGTAAATACTAGACACTTTGTTGAAGTAGAACTTCCAAATAACTTGAAGTAGTTGCTGTATATGCAACTTATGTTCTCTGAAGATTTCAAAGCTCTTGAAATTACAGTTTTTGGTGTTTACTCTATTTAAGTAGGACTTGGTCATTTTCAGGTAACTTTCTCATGTATAAAGTCAATCATCATTGGCTGCACAATTCTCCATATACCTTTATAACTTTGATTCCCTGGATTATAAGATAATATTCTAATTAGAGTAATATATCATTTTAAAGCTGTTTCGATGAAGTTTTTGGATCAACTACACTTCGTTCACGATTCTTGCGCGTTCTTTTTTAAAAAAGAGTTTTTTACCAAAACATCTGGCAAATATCCCCTGTTGACACGTTACATTTTGAATTATTTTTCGTCTTTAAACGCTCATAACTCAAACAATATATGACTATTATATTTATTTTTGTCTTGATAAAGGTAGATGACGTTTTATTTCATAGGATGAATTTTAGTAAGCGTCCCATATTGTGACGTCATAGAGTTTGAAAAATCTGTTGACAGCGACAACTTTTCAGGTGTACATTAAACAAAAAATACGAGATCAATTTTTAATAAATCATACATGATTATTTTGCTCTTTAACTCTAGTTTATTAATAAATAGTTGATTTTGTTCACAAAAGTATGTGTTTTCTGTTGTATGTGGAAAAGTGGAGGACGAAAGGTTTTCAAAATTCATTAAAAATGGGCTAATTTACGCCATTCGCCTATTTTCAAGCACAGCAACACGTATATTTATTTCATCTAAAATGTCAATTGATTCGTGTTTTATGATGCTCCTATC